GGGATTGGGGGGTTGGGTGCTGGATTTGTTTGTGCTGACGTAAGTGGTGCTACTCGCGTGCGTACGTACGTGCGTGCGCGCTGCGTACATACATACATACCGACATACATACATACATACAGACGACACGGGCAATAACAGATGGATGGATGGACCGAGGGATGGATGGACCTTGGATGAGAGTCTGTCTGTCTGTCTGTGTGTCTGTCTGTGTGTCTGTCTGTGTGTCTGTCTGAGTGAGTGAGTCAGAGATCCGCACGCGAAAGGCGCCAGTACATGCATGACCGTAATTGCCTGCCTGCCTGTCTGCCTGTTTGTCCGTCGATCTATCGGTCCGGCCGCTATTTCTTATGCATGTCTGTCTGTCTGTCATCATCCTCTGTGTGTCTGTGTGTCGTGTCGGTCTGTCCGTCAGTCAAGTACGTGCACACGGAAATGAGTGTGAGTGGTGCACAGCAGGGCAAAGCGGCGACATGGCAACGTGGCGTGGCCGCATTCATTGTCCATCTGTCTGTGTAATGAGTGGTCCTCCTCACTCACGATGTGTGTATGGTATGGTATGTCCGTAAGTTAGAGTGAGTGGTTTTGGTCTCCTTTGTGTGGGTGGGTGGGAGGGAGGGAGGGAGGGTGGGTGGCTTTGGTCGATTATCTACCTAGCTATCTGTCAGTGGCTTTGGGTACTAGATAGATACATATACGTGTGTGTGTATGTGTGATGCAATTCGTCCGTGGGAGGGGGTGCTGTCTATGCTATGGTCGCTCGTGGGGCTGAGTGCTGCCAGACTGGCTCGGCTGCTCACCCCCAGCAGAGAGGGGGGAGGGGGCTCTCCTGGGGGTGACAGACAGACAGACTGGTGGGGGCGGGGGCACCGGACAGACAGATGGACAAACAGACGGACGGACGGACGGACAGACGGGGCATACCACACACACGCATCCTCTCTCTCGCTCTGTCTCTCTGTCACATTTGACACCCCACTCTGTGTTGGTTTTGTGGCTTTTGTACACCACACACACAGACAGGTGAATTGGTGGGCGTACGTCCCGCGCACACACATCGATCTAGGTCGGTAGTTAGGCAGGCAGGCAGGTGGGTGGGTGGGTAGATAGGTAGGTGGAGGCACCCACCTGGCCCGGCTAGAGGGGGAGGATGGGGGCGTGGCGTGGCGGGTGTCCGTCTGCTGTCTGCCTGCCTACATATAGTCAGTCTGCCATGCCAAAGCTGCAACGTGGAATGGCTGGAGAGAGGGAGCTGGAGCCAGACACGATCAATGATTGCAATCACATGTCCATCCATCCATCCATCTACCGCGTCGGTCAAGGGAGGAGGTTCTTTTTCTCCAAAGGGAGAGGGGCGGGCGGACCAGTTGGCTCACTCTCATCCCACAACTCTTGTTCGTGCACCTTTCCCATGACCGCTCAGTGATCGACTGACTCAATGACAATGACCGTTCATCCATTCATTCATTGGTTGATACATCGATGACTCATCAATATGACCATGAACATACTCCATCCATGGCATGAGCCACCTCACCTTTCCCAGTAAGTACGACATCCACCCACCAGCCCCAGGTGGGGTGGACAACAAGTGTTTCTATCGACACACACGAATGCATCACACGCAGCACGCACAACTAGGCCGGCCGCAGGGTGCCGATCTGACACGACTCGTCTTCATCGTCGCGACGCTCTCCACCCTTCAACCCAGCCACCCCCTCCCCCCTCTCCGCATCCGCGAGGCTCTTGCCACACCTGTCGCTTGACCGCAGGAAGGGCCGTGACGGGAAGGGCGACACACCTGGGTGGTACTGGTCGAATCGCCTCACTCGGACATTGCTCTGCACAAGGAGGAAGGACAGAGCGGAAAAGGGTGGTGCATGTGGATGTGTGTGGGTGATGACGTTGACGGGCGGGCGAGCGTCCGCGTACATTCTGCAGGAGGGGCACCGAGCCGCTGTCCAGGTCGTAGTCCAAGGCATAGATCACCTCCGTAATGCCCTGAAGGACAGACAAAAGACACTCATGCACACACCTCCGTCCGTCATCTCTCTCTCTCTCTCTCTCACACCGCCTGTATGATGAGCTTGGCGCATCCGAGGCACGGCGTACAGGTCACAAACACCATCCCACCCACACACCGCTCGCGACCTGTTGATGGGAGAAACGACAGACAGAAGCATGGTTGGTGGCCTTGTCTTGTCTCTCCCTCTCGGCCCGCCCATCCCATCCCATCCGTGCCCCCACGCCCGCCCACCAGCCTCCAGCAGCGCATTGGCCTCAGCGTGCATGCACAGGCATATCTCTAGCGCCTGCCCCTGTGCAGTGGCCGCATTGCACCGCCTGCAGCCGCCCTCGTTGCAGTTGGTCACACCGAAGGGGGTGCCGTTGTAGCCCGTCGAGACGACCTTCTTGTTCTTGACCACTAAGGCGCCCACACTGACATGAATGAACGGCACATCTACACATGTGTGTGATGCGTGTGCCCGCTGTGGCTACCTTTTCTTCATGCAGTTTGATCGAGACGCTGCAAGGAAGGCCAATCTCATGAAGTAGGTGTCCCACGAAGGCCTCGTCAGCTCTGGATTCAGCAGATCCAACGCTGCACAACGGGGGGACGCACTCACAGCGGGCTGACGCGCAGAAAGAGATTGACACGAGCATCGTCCCTTGCTGACCATCTAGTGACTCTGCCAGGTGCTGTAAGGAGCCGCCGTTGACGAGCTCAATATCGGCTTCTGACATGCCTGCACCGACAGATCAGATCACACAAATGTGGTGACACATGCGCGGAGAGCATCAGTGCGTACAGAATGCAACGGATGCTCCCATTCCCGTTGGGCCCTGCTGCGGACCAGCTGCACCGAACTCAACCTGCATGGCCACACACACAGACACACACACACACAGGCACACAGGGATGCAGGTATTACACTGACACGCCTGTCCGAACGGCCCTTCGCCTACTTGGTCTTGTTCCCTCAGGAACGACAGCATCTTCTCAGCATCCACATCGCTCACATCTCCGTGGATGCTCTTTGAAACAGATCGATGATCTAGGCTACCATCGTCGCCCTCCTGTGCGATGCTCCGTGCGAGGCGTGTCAGTATGGGTGCCTTGACGGCCATCTGGTGTAGCAAGGCCTGATACATTCAAGAGGCTCTGATAGCTTGTGCCGCATACCAGCAGGAAGAACGGCCGCCGCCTGCAAACAACCATCAATCACACGGGCATGGGAATGGCATTGCGTACCTTTGTGCGTGTGTGTGTGTGTTTTCTGTTGTATGCGTACCTGAAGATCTGCATCTCCTCCCGTAAAGTGATGGGAAAGACCACGTGAGGCGTCTGCCAACGCTGCATTACTGAAACCACAACAGCACAGCACGCCATTGACGCCTTCGAGGACCATCTGTGTGCTCTGCCTACTTCGCTCGAGCGCCTCGTGAGCCGCCTGCTGCGCCAGATCCATCGCAGACCTGTCCTCTGACGCATCCGCCTGTCCTCCGCCATCTACTTGGCCATCGTGGACGCCGTTGCATGCCCTCATCTGGTCCTCTTGGCCACCGCATGCATCGCATCCTTTGCGCTCGAGTTCACGTCCGAGCTGCTTCAAGTTCAGCGCGACGAAGCCCCTTTCTTCTTCGAGCAAACGGGCAACAGTCGCCTTGCCACTCTTGGGAGGCCCGCACAGGCCGACAATCACCATCTCTCACTCATCCCAGCTTGCCTCCCCCGGAAAACGGGTGTCGTGCATCGCTCCCCCCTCGCGGAGTCGTCTTTCTCCGCCAGCAACCACCAGCCAGGCGTCCAGTGACGTGCGAAACCTTTGTCTGCCCTTGATCCGTCGCTCGGTTGTCCTCGGTGATGGTGTACAAGAAGGCATATTGCATTCTACATAGCAAGGTTGGAGACCACACGAGAGCTCGTCTTTCCCCTCACACAGGCTCCTTTGCTGTTCAGGGTTGTTGCCCGAAGGGCAATGCGTGCAATTACGCACACAGTTTTAACGAAATTGATATGACAAGTAAGCGTCACACCAACGGGGAAACACTGTGTTGCACAAGGGTGTTCAAGGTCGAACAGGGCGTGTATGCGGTGTGTGCGGCTGTGTGTCTCTCCTCTCAGAATACAAAATAAACATTTGCCGCGAGTGGAAGTCAATAGGGCGGTGCCCCCGTGGCGAATTTTGTACTTATGCTCATTGCCGAAAGGACATGCGCTTAGAAGAATGGTGTGAGTACGTATGGAAAGGTGAGCAAGGGAAGAGGCAGGGGAAGCAGAACAAATTGGCACCTCTTGCCATGTGTGCTGATCTGTGCGCAGGTACGAGTTGCCATCGGGGTGTGGACTGCCACAAAGCCCACTCAGATAGTGAGCTCAAGCTGCGAAAGAAATTGTACGCTAAGCCAATGGCGGACGCACATCACATTCGCCTCAGCGGTACAGCCACCATTCGCCTCAGCGGTACAGCCACAATTCCCGTGTGTGCCTTGTGCGTGTTCAGGAATGACGAGATGGCCGAGAAGATAGCCAGCTTTAACGGCTGAGAAGGTACCCTGCAGTCCGGTTACCGAGAGCTTAGTAAATTACCAAATTTTGCTGCCTGGCTGACTGACCGACTGGCTGGCTGGATGGCTGAGTGACTGACTGAAGGTCTGTGTGTGGCTGGATGTCGCATGTATGGGTGGAGGGTGGGGCGGAAGCGCAACGCGTCGACGCCAGCTCCTCCATCCCATCTTGTTTGTTTAAGATGTCTGTCGGCGGTGTGAGGTGTGTATGCATCCATGTCTTTCCATAAGCTGCCTGCGTGAGTTGTACCCTCTGCTTGGGTCTGCTGGGTTTTGGGAAGCGTGTACGGTTTTGTTGGGCTGCGTGTGGTGCGTCTAGCGATGCATGGTGTACATCTCCTCTCTCTCTCGCTTGGCTGAGATGTATGTACGCACTACGTGAGTGGGTTTCTTTTGACATTCTCACGATCCTTCTTGCGAACGATCTCTCTTGCCTGTCTGACCGGTCAGGAGGTGACTGGTGTTGTAGTCACTAGACAAGCGGCTGTAGGTGCATGTCTGACTGTAGCACATCCAGGGCATGATCAGCAACGTGTGGATCGTACACATCCACACGTTGCTGCCTCGCCTGAGCCCGGCTGCCTCCTCGTCTGCCTGTCTGAGGTCTCTTGTCTGAGGTCTTTTGTGAGTTTGCCTGCCAATGACGATTTGGCCCGCAGTTTTTTTCTCTCCCCTTGTATGTGAGTGGCTGCGAGTTGGTGGGGAAGGCCACAAGGGGTCGGGTTCTTACTTGAAAATCTGTAAGCGGCGTTTTCCAGAGACAAGACATGTGCCTCGTCTTTCTTGGGATCCTTGTCATATATGTATGTCTACATAATTGTAAGACCTCTCTCCCTGTGCAGTCAGTGGTGTGTCGGATGCATTCACCCATATACACAGTTTTGACTGACTGGCGACTCTCTCGTGGCTGTATGTATGTATGTATGTGGGTCAATGCCAACGATATCTCTCTCTCTTCCAGCGATCTCCCTCCCGCCTGATCATTGCGTGTATGGCTGTAGGTGCATGCCTTCATGTGCATGTCTGTGATATTTATCCATCATCATGTGCCTGCCTGCCTGATGCACACGATGCACACGGTACACATTCATACGCTGCTGCCTCGTCTGCGACGTCACGATTTTATCCATCGGCTGCGAGTCTGCCTGAGTGCAATGTGTGTGTGGATGCGACATCACGCAACAGCGCACACCATTAGTGTCATGCATCTACACACCTGTCTGTCTGGCTAGCCTAGAAGGGACACACGGGGGGCTAGCCTGGACACATTCGTGTCGTTTTTATCCATCATGTGTCACGATTGTGTCCATCGGCTGCCTTCCTGGCACTACACCATGGCTGCTTCCCCTCCCTGCCTGTCGTGGATGCGCTGCACGTCTTGTTCTCCAACGACATGTGTGGTGTTTGTTCCTTCGTGACACGGGGGGAGCTATCTTTTGTCCATCGCTGTGCGTCGTTGTCGCCCTCTTGCAGACACGCATGGTTACCGTCTGTCTGTCTGTCTGTCTTTCTGTCCATCCGTTTCGCACGACAACACGGGAAGGGGTGCTTTTTGCGCGCACACGCATCGGCACTCTCTCCAGGCTTCTCAAGTTCACACAAACAAAGCACCTATCGACCCTTCGCCGTATGTGTCTGTCGGTCTGTCTGTCCGTCTTTGCATGTACGTGGGCAGGGGGTTGTTTTTCCACACGAACCGGGACGTGGGGTTCTAAATCAAGTTCACATAACAACGTGAGCCCGTTCCCAGATGTAAACGGAACTGATCTGCAATCCGGATTGCAGCCAGATGGATGGGTTGATGGATTCGGGCCCTCCCGGCCTATCCGGAGGCAACTTCTTCCTTGAAAGTGAGCACAGCACATCCATCCATCCATTCACCATGGTGTCCATGGCATTTGCTTGTCCGCTTATCTCTCCACCCGTGCAGACATGGCGCTGACGGGGTTCACTGCGGATGAGGGCGTGCTGATGACGGCCAAGGAGCTCGTCGACAATGCACTCGATGCCGTCAAGCGACTGCAGCCGCACGCACGGCAGTTCGAGTGCCAACACAAACAGCGTACGACGAACAAGGATGGATCAGGGCCGCTGCAGTGCCTCCGTGTGTGTGCTGTGTGTGCAGAGGTAGAGGTGTTGCTTGAGGATCACGGTTTGAATGATGAGGACCTGCTGCACCCCACCGATGGGCAGCGTTTCGTTGAGGTGGTGGTGAGGGACTCGGGCATAGGCCTCCAACACAACAACGTCGACCTCCTCGGTGCGTCGATCGGTGTGGGTGCATTGCACGACACGTGAGGCGAGAGAGCCCATCGGTGTTGTGTTTGTGCATGAATGCAGGCACGATATTCGGCAGCTCTTCGTCCGCACAGAATGCCGCCAATGACGCACTCAGCGTCGCCGGCAAATTCGGTCGGTACGCACACACGTCGGACACTCAGGGGTGACGTCCGATGCGCGTATGCAGGTGTTGGCCTGAAGATGGTGCTGCTGAACTCACACATCCACGCAGACGGCACTGTGCGCATCAAAAGCAGACGTAAGGCGACACGGGGGAGGGGTGCAGCCACCGAACTCCTCGTACGTGTCTCGTCTGTCAGTGTCTTCGCGAGAGTTTTTCCACTTCTCGTTGTCTTACAGTGGCGACGACGGCGAGGTGACGGCCCAGCCAGCAGAGGATGCCATCGCAACCAACTTCCCATTCATGACTGAGTGAGCCCACCCCGACAGACCATTCTGGACGAGAGGTTCGATTGGTTCAGGTTTCGTGTGTGCATCGCCTACCCATCTGAGACACTGCTGCCGTCGATTCAGCGCCTCTGCAACTACCTACTGCTGGTAGGTACCAACGGGGCACGGCGTTCACAGATGTTGCTTACCAGTCGTTTCTTGGTGCGGGCATGATGTGTCAGGCCAAGGTGTGGCATCCTGAGCTGGAGCTGCGCCTGTGTGTGGAGTGCCAACACGTCGACATGCACCCCTTCACACTGGACACGACACACCAACACCCACAGGAAGTCATCAGCTCACTCATCGGGTCAGAATCCTGCTCGTCCAGCGCACAACACAACATGGCCTTTTACCCATCTCCTTCTGCCCTTTGGTTGCAGTGTGGACGGTGCGGGCTCGTCTGGCAGTTCGTCGGTCGTGGTGCACCACACACATTTCGGTGCCACCTTCAAATGTGAGATGGTCGCAGTCCTGGACAAGAAGGCACCACAGGCGGGCCACCACGGCCAGCAGACCGCCGAGCAGGGTGAGGGTGACGAGGCCGACGACGACGCCACCCAGCATGAGGAGGCCGACGGCCCTCCTGAAGGCGACGAGCTGAGACGCGCAAGCGACGACCAGACATACAATGGGACCATACAGGTGAGAGAGAGCGGGACTGGCGCATTGGGATCGTCTACGGCTCTGATATCCTGTGTACGTGTCTGTGTGTTCAGCTGTATCGGAGTGTGAACGGGATGCCACTGTTGTCGAGTGAGGCGCTGTCATGCGGGCTGACGTCCCTGATGGGCGGCTTCCTCCGGAGAGAGGGCGAGCAGTACGGCATCACACTCAACAACACGCACAACAATACCACAATCGCACAAGCCAACCAGGATGACTCTCAGGGGTAGGGGAGGAGAGAACGAACGAACGAAAGAAAATATCGATATGATTGGATACAAGGAAACCAGGCCATCCGTCTGTGTGTGGGATTTGTGCACAGTGGCATGCTTGGGGGCGTGGAGTGCGTGACGTTCACCATCGCAAAGAAGACAGACGACTGGACGCGGCTGCGAGTGGTGGGGTGCTGGCCAACACAATACTACAAGGATTCGTCTGACACATTTGCACTCTGTGTGTGTGTGGTGTGTGTCGTGCGTCGTGTCGTCAGTTTGTGAATGTGAGCGGTGCGTCGATGGAGTTCGGTTCGTTTCAGAAGTCTTTTGTCAAGGCATCCCACCACCTGGAGACGGCCGTGCTGCAGTGCACAAGGGCCATCTTCAAGGCACTCAGACACAAATGCCCCGACGCGTTCCAATGCGACGAGGAACGACGGGTGAGAACGCACACACAGATCCACCGACAAGAGGTGCCTGCAGGTGAGCATCGCTCTCCTTCTTGGTGTCTCTTTGTGCAGTATGAGGCGGCCAGGACGATTTTCCTGCCCGTCATGTCCAGCAACCTGTGCGACATCGTATTCAGAAGTGAGCCAGACGCGCAAGGCACAGACGAGACATGAGCCCTGTGCTGCCTTGCCCTTCTTCTTGTTCAGGTCAGAATGGTGCGTTCCGCGATGAGGTGCTGTCGCTGTTGTCACTCGCAATGCAACGAATGGGTAAGTGAGATACGCTCTCCCTCTGGACCCACACGCCTCCTTGTGGTTCTCAGAGGCCTCGGCGCAGCTTGCAGACGCCCCTGACGCCGCTGCGGGTGCTGCTGGTGATGGTGGTCCCCCCGACTCCCAAGCCACCATCCGCGTCGACTCGCAGCAGCATCAGGAGCATGAGGCACCACCACCACCACCACCACCCCTCTCCCGCCCCCAGGCCGAATCCATCCTCACAGCCCTGCTGCAGAAACGGCTCGACCGACTCAGCGGCGGCCCCAACGGCGCCAAGGCCAAGAGCAAAAAGAAGAAGAGGCGCAGGGCGGCGGGTGCTGGTGTGGCGGGTGGTGGTGTGAGGGCGAAGGCCAAGGCCAAGAGGGCGCCGGCACCGCGGGCTGCACGTGACATGGATGACACGCTGAGGGAGGAGGACGGTGGCCCGGAGGAGGGAGAGGGAGAGGGAGGCGAGGGGGAGGGGGAGGACGAGCAGCAAGACGACGATGCCAACATGCAAGACACGTACGGACGCCTACCCCCGCAGCGTGGCCTGCAGCATCATGGGTGTGGTGTGTGAGAGTGTGTTTGTATTTTTGCAGGTATGATGAGGAGATGGGCGGTGGTGGCTCGCCGTACGAGGACCTCATCGAAGGGTGGTGACTGACTGACTGACTGATTCAACCATCCCAGCATGTGTATTTGTACGCGACTGACTGAGTGAGCGGATGAATGCGTGCATTGAGGACCATCATCGCATTAGTGACATGATCAAAGAGCGGCTGCACCGCGCACGTCTCAAAAATCGCGTCCTATTCACCCATCCACCACCACAACTGCCTCGACATTTGTCTGCCTGCCTGTGTGC